CGTAGTACGTACGTACGTACGTACGTACGTACGTACGTACCGTTACCGTTACCGTTACGTTACGTTACGTACGTACTACTACTACTATATATAGTAGTAGTATACTACTACTACTACTCTCTCTCTCTCTCTCTCTCTCTCTCTCTCTCTCTCTCTCTCTCTCTCTCATCTATATATATATATATATATATATAGTGCAGTTTGTATAAGGTGTCAACCTTCAACAATTAAAATAGGGAGCACCTTTAAATCTTGCTAAAATGTGTACTATTGGCAGCAAAAAACCTTATCTTGGCCTAGAAATATATTTTCACCCCTAATAATGAAATTTAAAGCTCCAAAAATGTAGATTGTTTTTGGAGATTGAACAGAACTATAAACACTTAAATTTTTTTAAAATGGACAATTTAGATAATGTATTACAAGATGCATTACTTTTAGGACTTGACATCCCCATTTTTTTCATATCCATACATTTTGAGGTTGAGATGATTAATTGTGGGATTGTCAATGTCGAAACATCCTTTTTTGGGTGGATTTTGGAGTGCACCTTATTTCTATAGTACAGGATATGAACTTTTTCTATATTTATATGTTCATTGTCATAGGAACATTACAAGATTTAGGTAAATATATAGTTACATCACAATCGGCACAGCGCCACAAATTTCCCTTTCCACTACCATCTAGCAATCATTGAACTCACATCCGTTGTTGACTCCATCATCACGGCTTCACCCACAATAGAAATTCAAATGAAATCACCTAAAAATGAGGCCCAATGGTCGCTGGGATTTTGGCAAAAATCCCCAATCTCAACCTCATCCAAAACTCTACCCCACAAAATCCACTCTATCTTCCCACCAAGTTGTTTTAAACACACATTTCAACGTTTCCTATTGTGTTAAAAATGCCCCTAAATCAAGAGAGAAACACCATGGAGGTAATTTTTCCGTCACCCACCCAACACAATATACCTCAATTACCCGCAGATACTTCAGTAGATTACTGCATCAATTAGAGGTCAGACTGTTAGCACAAACAATTATGGTTCATCTCCTAATAAATAAAAAAACAATTATGGTTCATCTTGAAATGTAATCTTTATATGTTTAGTTGTATGATCAATCACTGGAATAGATGGATCACAAAATACAGGCAAAGATCGAAGCCAACCTAATCATAAACTTAGATTGTCACTAATCAATTAGCATCGAAGCAAGCTTTCTTCTGCTCTCTAAATCATAACCACACCATCCATGTAAACCATTTGAATTCATTTACATGGAATAAACTTCTAATAGTTTAATGAGTCCCAAAATCACATATTACAATCTGAATTCAAAAGATAACAATGACCACAAATGAATCCCATACATTTGATTGGATGCCAGAAATCATCAGTTCTATATAAAAAGAAAAAGCGATATCAGGACTCTGTCCACACCATGCCTTCACAAACAATTCAGAAGCCGAAGAATCAAAGAAAATAAATCAAGAAAGTCCTGAATCAAATCAAAACTACTCATCCATAGATATGAAAACCAGACCTCAATTCAGACTTCAAAGCCTTAGAATCCCCACGGCAACAAGAGGGAGAAAGGTAAAAGTGATGAGACCAGAGAGGTAAAACCCGACGGAAACAAAGAGTCAAAATCGCCAGTCTTTTTTATGCCAGGATACTGGACTGGAGATTTTTGTTTTTTAGTGTAGACTGAAATGAGCGCTGGAGCGTGTGGGGTATTAGGAGGAGAACACAGTACGCGTGGCACGATGTGGTTTGCGGGGGCCACTGGGAATCGGTGGTGCGACCTCACATGATCCGCAGGGATGTGGAAATCAAATAACTACTTGAAAGGGGGACTACAACAAGGATGCATTTCATTTCGGTAAAAGTTAAAACTTAAAAGTAACCCATCACATGGCTCACGCGGTAATAATGTATTTTCTATAGGGTGTGCTTTATATTGACCCGGGGTTCTAAACAATCACCGTAGACCTTACTTTCAATTAGTGTTGAGAAATGTAGTTTCAATCTTGGTGACAGCCTTAGAATATATTCTTATCTTTAATTATAAAATTTAAAGCTTCAAAAATAGTATAGATCGAACAAATCTACGAAAACTTAAGAATCTTAAATATTGACGGTCTAAAAATGTGTTGCAAGATATACTATTTTCAATACTTGAAAATCATTTTTTTTCGTGTCTATGCCTCTTGATTTTGAAATGATCAATTTAAAGATATTTGGATATCAAAACAACATTTTTTAATGAAAATTTTGAGATACATTTTTTAATGAAAATTTTGAGGTGGTTTGATTGTTTAAAGCCTCGGCTCTATATAAATTTTTTACAAAGTTCAAACCCATCACATCACATGGTTGGCGCAGTGGAAATAGTGCTCTTTCAAAGGGATCGCACGCAAGGTGCATTTGGAGGTCTCCATACTCGGCTACAGTTTAATTAGTGTCTAGGGTTTATAAAATATTAACAAAAAAATATATTTGATTGAGTTTATCCATCAAACTAGCTCGTTTGGACTGGTTAAGAGCCTGAACAAGATTGGGCAACAATTTCATAACATATTTTCTATTTTTAAACTAATTTTTATTTTATTTTTAAAAATTCGATCCAATTGATTCAACCCGATTTTGACCATCATTGGTTCAAGGGCATGTTTAATTCTAATCTAATCAATTCTTATGATATTATTAAATAACATTCTATATATAGAAAGAAACAAAAAATTTTTTTGTTTCATGCAAGTTGGATCTCATTACTACAATAGATGGTCCCATGGTATAAAGCATCCATCTTAAAGATAGATTCAAATAGGTGGTTCATCTAAAAACAAATGAAACCAACTGTCCAAATGTTTTTTAATAAAATTATTATTTTTAATTTTCAATTTTTTTTTTTTTTTCATATTCATGATCTCCATGTTAGAGATTGGATGTCCTTAAAAATTAAGTCCAAAAATCCATCTCAAAAATAGATTTTTAAGAGGTGACTCATTTCTACGTGGACTCAAAAAACCATGTCAAAAAAACAAATTCTAGAAATCATCTCTTATGCCGATGACACAAAACATATGTTTAATGAATAAAATTGAGATATGGATGGAAATATAATGAAATAAAGTAACTTTTAGATTTCGTATCAAATTAGATATAGAATGGAGCCCCTAGTTTAAGGATTTATGAAGAAAGATTTGTGCTTATATTAGTCACAGGGTAAGAACGGGAGTTGAATTGTATGGGATCCAATTTCCCGTTGTTGCTTCTTCTTCTTCTAATTCTATGGAGAAACTAGAAGGAAATTACAGAATCAGATGCACATGTCTCTACCAAAAAAATACCACCCTTGGCCAGAAAATCTGCCAAAACATTAGCCTCCCGATAATCATGCACAAAAGATAAATTAAAAGGCCTAGAAAAGTCCAAAATTTGTAGCAACATAGATCTCAACTTCGACTTCTGCTCCCCATTACACCATTTAATGACATTCAAGGGATTACCTTCAACAACACAAAAAAGACCTAAATTTTTTGCCACAAAAAGTTTTAAACCATGAGAGCCAGGAATTCAGCATAGTTTGTTATTTTCTCCTCAAGAGGACTTGCATATGTAAAAACTATATTTCCATCCCAATCCCTCACTACTCCTCCAAAACCAGCTAAACCAAGGTTCCCTAATGAGTTGCCATCAAAATTAAGCTTAAAGACTCCCCTTAAAGGCAGTACCCATCTTCCCAGTGTTCCCTAATGAGTTGCCATCAAAATTAAGCTTAAAGACTCCCCTCAAAGGCGGTACCCATCTCCACAGGGTTCCCTAATAAGTTGCCATCAAAATTAAACTTAAAGACTCCCCTCAAAGGCAATACCCATCTTCCCTTAGACCTACATTTGATGAAGTCCAATTAGAATAGGTTCGATAAGTTTCTCCTAACATCCATTTCCAATATATATTTCCCAACTTTTGTAATTGATAAATACTGCCACATAGAGTGTAAAATCTTCTCCAAAATTCTTTTAAAGGGCATGCTTATCCCATCAAACACTCTCCTATTTCCTTCCTTCCAAACCTCCCACAAGATCACGCCTCTCACGATTTGCCAAATCACCACATCTGCTTGTAGTAACATGGACAACGGTAAGTTTGAAATAATCCCTAAACTTCCAGAGGGATAACCAATGCAATCTCAAGCAGATCAAAAAACCATAACCAAATTCTAACTGTAAATGGACAATGGAGAAATAGATGAACACCTATTTCACTATCACTGGTTCACATAAAACAGATATTCAGCAAAATCTTCCCTGTTTTGATGAGATTATCAATAGTTAACACCTTATGTTGCATTGCCGACCATAATAATGCTTGCAGCTTTAGCAGTAAAGGCCATTTCCAAATAATGGCAACTTCAAGCATGAACCACCTCCAACGATTATGAAAAAGCAATTGATACATTGACTTAATCGAATAGGTTCCATCTTTATCAATATCCCAAACCACCTCATTAGCTGCATTTTGAGGGATATAAACATCATTCAGTAACGTCAGCAACCCATAAAACTTCAAAAAAAGCTCATCCAGAATTCTATTATATGGAAGATTAATTTTTCACACAACTTGATTACCTCTAATCTCAAAAGTATCAGCAATGGCGGCATTGGCGTTATCCATCCTCTGAAAAACAAGTGGAAATACATATTTCAAGGTTGATGAGCCTAACCATATGTGATGCTAGAAAAAGATATTGCTTCCATCTCCCAAACTCCATTGAATATCCCTGTGAACCAAAGTAATCCTTCCCCCCAACGAGACGTATTTATATTTCCACATATCAAGATTAACGTGTATCCTTTGAATTACTTTATCCTAAATAGCCAATGGAAGTCGACCATCCGAAATTGGCATACCCAAATATGTAATTGGAAAATAATACACCTTGGAACCCAATACCTCTACAATCTCAATGACCACATATTCATTAAAATTTAAGCCAATCACTGCAGTTTTCTCCAAGTTAACCTTAAGACCTAAGGCCACTTCACAACATTTTAAGAAAGTAGCAATATTGGTAATTTGATCAAGCTCAGCCTCACCAAACAACAAAATATCATCTACATATTGTAAGTGAGAAATACAAGGTCCCTCATTTGCCATTTGAAAGCCAGGAAAATGCTATGTAGTTTCGACATTACGAACAAAATGGCTGAAGTATTCTGTATAAATAGTTAATAGGAAAGGGGATAGAGGATCACCTTGACGAAGACCCCGAGATGCATTAAAAAAACCAGTCGAGCTTCCTTTATACAAATGGTAAAATGGGTAAAAGACAAGCACCCATAAATCAAATTTCTCCACTTCTCACCAAAACCCATATTCTTCATAATTTTCAAAAGAATGCTTCATTCAACCATATCATAGCCTTTTTCCATGTCCAATTTAGTCACAACCTCGGGATTACCTCTCAGAATTCTTGAATGTATGCACTCCTGTGCAATCAGGACACTATCATTCATCAATCTATCCCTACTGAAAGCTATATGTGGTCCTAAAATAGTCGGAAGGACCACCTTAAGTCATTCTGCAAGCATCTTAGCCACAATTTTATAAAAACTCGTAAGAGGGCTAATGAGTCTAATATCACCAAACTTAGCAGTGACAGAATTCTTAGGAATGAGGATTTGAAATAGTTTAGCTCTCCAGAGGAACCCCCTAACCATCTCCAACAACCCACTACTAATCATATTTCAAAACTTATGGAAAAAGATAAGAGGAAACCCATCAGGGCTAGGTGCTTTACCACCTGGCAAGGAGAGCATAGCTTTTTTCAACTCTTTCAATGATACATCTCCCTCCAGAGAAGATAACAAATTTGAAAGAACTCTGAAATTCACCCTATTCAACCTAGGGGTAAACTTCACCTCAGAAGTGAAGCTTTTTTGAAGTGGCTAATGATAGCATTAGACATCTCATTGCTATCATCAGGATTAGCCCAGAAACATCATTTTGTCGACTGTGTGCATTCCCTATGGCATAGAAAAACTGTGTTCAAATCCCCCTCCTTTAACGATTTGACTATAGACCTTTGCTTCCAATACACATCTTCTACCCTTCTAAGCTCCTATAACTTGATGGTTTTAGAACATCTCTCCACTACCAACTCCTCTGACAAGATTCCAAAATTTTGTACAATGAGATCGACCTCTTCAAGGCTTCTTAGAACTTCCTTAAATTTGCCTCTAACATGATACCTCTTTTCATTTTTCCAAGTAATAAACTTGTGCTTAACATTTAAAAACTTCTTGTGGAGATGGAAATCCAAAGAGCCGAAGGAAATAGTGTTCTCCTAAGAACTTTTAATAATGTCAACTACTTCGTTCTCCTTAAGCCAGCCACTTTCAAACCTAAAAGGTTTAGGTCCTACAGAGACGACTTTAGAACAAAGCATAATAGGGGTATGATCAAATGATAGCCTAGATAAAGCTTTAACCGAAGCAAGAGGGAAAGAATCTGACCATTCCCCTGAAACTAAAAATATGTCAAGTTTAGACATGGACAAATTCAAGGTACTATCATTTGTCTAGGTAAAATTTGTGCCTGAAATAAGCAAATCTAGCAAGGCCTAGGAATCACTAAACCTATTAAACAGCCGCATGACAGACGTAATAAGTCCACCATAGCTACTCTCATCCAGCCATCTAATAAAATT